ACTAAAATGAAAGTACTCCATTAAAGCTTTCTAATGAATACTTTTTCATACCGAAAGGTCTCCTCTACATGAATTCACGGCTATTCAAAAACGGTATTACTTTTTCACTTCAAACCTCAGATTATTTCTCAATATCGCTTTAAAAGACTTGATAGTAAATGAGAAGGTGTAGAATACTTTAAGCTTTCATATGGTCATTACTTTATGGGGGTATTGGTTAATAAGTTTTAGAGAGGTTCACAAAAAACTATTTTATAGAAATTTAATAGTCATGAAGAATTTTTGTAGATGGGGTTCAGCAAAAACTAAAAGGTATTTTATTAATGATTGTTTTACGTTTCTGATTTTATATTGATCAAAGTTTCATTAATGATTATTATGAATATCTATCAATCAGTAGTTGTTATATATAGCAACATTAAACAATAATATTAGTAGCAATAAATAGCAAATGACAATAACGAATCATCATTTTTTGAGGATGATAATAAAGATTAAGATCCAGTTTATATAGGAGTTTGAAGTAAATGTTAAGGACAAGATCTATGAAGCTTGTAAAATATACTAACAAATGTTTTATCAATTATCCAATAGTTTGTGTAGGAGTGATCAAAGTAAGCATTAAGGACAAGATCTATGAACAAAATATAATAATGAACATTTTATTAATTATTCAATAGTTTGTGTAGGAGTGATTGAAGTAAGCATTAAGGACAAGATTTATGAACAAATATACTAACAAACATTTATTAATTATTCAATAGTTTGTATAAGATCTATAATAATGAACATTTTATACATTTTATCAATTATTCAATAGCTTATGTAGGAGTAATCAAAGCTTTAAGGACAAGATCTATGAACAAAATATTCTAATGAATGTTCATTAATTATTCAATAGTCTGTATAGGAGTGATCAAAGTAAGCATTAATGGCAAGATCTATGAAGCTTGCAAAATATACTAACAAGCATTTCATCAATTATTCAATAGTTTGTATAAGAGTGATTGAAGTAAGCATTAAGGACAAGATCTATGAAGCTTGCAAAGCAAGTTTTGCAAAATGAACGTTTTATCAATTATTCAATAGTTATATTTATTATATATTTATGTATATAAATTTCTTTTATTTTAACTTATATTTAATAACATCACTATGACCAATTATTAAATGAATAAAGTCAGAGATAAAACATCTTTTAATTTAATCATTATTGTTGCTTGTTTACTAATTATAATTATTATTTATGTATATACTGTAGGTAAAGAAAAACTTTAATGCCTATTTATTTATTATATTACTTTTAAATTAAATGATTTTACTATAAAAGACATACCTAAGTGATCATGGCTAATTAATTGTATTGACATTTTGTTCACTATTGTCACTGATTAAATTTGGGAGAGTGTATTTTAATTGGTGATAACAATTATTTTTATTTTTGCGTGGATCAGAATGAATAGGGGATCAATGAATTGATTTTGGTATTAGTGAATAATTTTGTTTAAAGGAGATAATAGTTTAAATAAAATTTTTATTTTATTTATTTAGTTTTCTTAGTTGAAACTAATTAACTTATGACAAAGTTACTTTTACATTAGGTCTAAGGCTTTGAACGAATCAAATCAAATCGAATTTGAGAGTGATTCAATTCAATTCAATTCTATTCAAAAAAATAGGATTCAATTTGATTTGATTCGTGACTATACATGCAGCCCAAATTGGTTTGGTGATTTTGATGGTCAAAATTATTCCAATTTTGATGGTAGAAAGTAGAAATTAATTATGGCATTCACTATTAAAAACATAAGTGTAACACCCCTTTACTACATGTGTAACCCCCTTTATGACAGTGTCAAAATACTTTGGGCTGCATGTATATTCGTGACTCAATTCGAATTGATTCAAATCAACCCAGATTCTTAAAATTTTTTTAACATCATATTAAATTTATATTTTTAATTTGATAATTTGAATTTATATTACACAGTGAATCTCAATTAGTCTGCCTCCATTTAATGAATACTAATGGATTGAGGTCTAAGAATGGTTTAATGATAATAAAATTCTTCTTGATATTATATTTATTCGAATTTTTAATAATAATGGATTTCTTGATATTAATATTAATATTAATGGTTGTGTGACCTATATTATTAAGGGTAGAGTGTAAGTAACACGAATTTTACTATGATATGGTAGATAATTTTTTGACTGCCGATCATTAAAAATATTAGCATAGTCATGATAACACTATTATTATATACATAACAGTAATATATAAAAAAAATTATTATTTTATTTATATTAAATATTTAATATAACATTGTTCTTTTCTTCTATGACATCCTTTAGCAAACAAAAAAATAAAATAAACAAGCTACAGTTCACTCTCTCTATAACAAACACTAAGTAAAATCTCTATAATGAACCTCCCTTTTAATTAATTTCTCTCTATAATGAACATCTTAGTATTTATAATGAAAAAAGGCACATATATGGATGGAAGGTTCATTAAAATATTTCCCATGTTCCTTATTTATAAATAAATTATGATGTTAGTTAATTATATTAATTATATTAATTATTTCACAAAATACCAAGTAAAATTACAGGAAGCTCCCACGTTTTGTTTAAAGTAAAAGAAAATTTGATATAACTTCCCTGAAGAATGGTGTATATATAGAAAAATAGTATATGTAGAGTAGGCAGAGATATATTGCTATCTTGCTATTGACTTCTATTACCATCCCTCAACTCATCTATATAGTTGTTTTCAAAAAATTCTATTTTTAAATGTTTTTAATGATCCAAATTACATGAGTAAAACTAATATCACTTACATGTACCTTGATTAAAAACAGGCAATTTTCTTTTGGTATTTAATAATATGGTTATTATTCACTTAAAATTTATTATTTCTATTTATTTTTATTAATATATTATAGAAAATTTTATATGTTTTATTAGTGATTAGCAAAATGTCTCTAACTTTACAAGTTTTTTTTGAAATAACCATCTAACAATAAAAAAATTTTTATTACTATATGATTGTATATATGATGAAAATGGATTTTGTGTTAATTTTCGTCTCACGAAAACTAGTTTTTGGTGTAGCTGCGTATGAAGCAAGTGATTTAAAAGAGGTTCGGGAATTATTTATCCTCGCCGATCATTATATAAAATCACATGACTACACTCTACCCTTAATAATGAGTAAAAAGTAACGATTTAGAGTTGTACAATTCATTAAATCTAAAATAATAAGTACTAATATTATTGATGCTTCTTCAACTTCAATTTCTTCAACAAGAGATGCAATTATTGCACCAGGTAAATTTTTTTTTTGAATTTTACAATATTTATACTATATAAATAAATATAAAATAAAAAATATTTTTGTAAATAAAATTATAAAATATACATTAAAATAAAGATTTTTCATTTATTATATAGTGTATTTGATTCAAATCATGGATTCAAATCAGTTATTATTATAGATTCGAACCAGTCAGTTTGAATCAAATCAAATCAGTTCAAATTAAATTATATATTCGAATCAGTTCGAATGGTATCAAATTATATATTCGAATCCGTTCGAATCGAATCAAATTATACATTCGAATCAGTTCGAATCGAATCGAATCGAATCAAAGTACAATTCGATTTGAATGAAACGAATCAAAAATTAAGTGATTCGATTCGAATCGAATTTCATTGATTCGTTCGGAGCCTTAATTAGGTCAAAATCAAGTTCTTTATATACATGTTCTTTACATACTACTTTTTTAATAATTAATTTCCGCTTTCTATTCTTTGCTTAATTACTAAGTAATTACAAACTATCAAAAAAGTGGACAAGAGTTTTAAAAAAAGTAGTATTAGCCCGAATTGGGCGATTCCGCCCGGTTTGGAATAATCGTCATTAATCTCTACTAAATAAAGTTAAATAAATACGAACGTGCTACGGATCAATAAAAATTAAATGGACGGGACGTAACACGAATTCAGATAATTATCCCTTAAATTGGCTATCGTACAAATTTGTACGATTAAATTTTTTTATATAAAAAAATTTTTCTGATCATCACGCTTTCTAATTAACAAATGATATTTGAGATTCTATACATTGATCTATATATAGAAATTCGGCCATTATTATTATGGGTTTTGTAAAACTGTAAAAAGTCTACAATGCCCGTGTCGATCATTACCTTAAAAATTGATATATTCATAATAAAATTTTTTATTGTGCGATTTGATTGGTGGAATTTTGTAATTTACCAATAAAATTTTTCGAAATTCCCTTATTCGAAAATGTGGACAGTTTAAGGGATACTGATGTGTAACACCCCAGTAAACGACGACAGTGATGAGAGTTGTGACACTGAATAATTTTTATTATTCTTTGTACTTTTTTTTTTTTTCGCAATAAAATTTACGTATATAGATCAAATTTTTTTTTTCTGAAATTACCACCCAGCGAAAGCAAAAAATTCCTTCCCAAAAAATTAGGGTTAAAAAAACAATAATTTCTTGGTTTCAATTGTAATTGCAATGCAATGCATTGCTTTGCAATTCAATTCAATTTCAATGCAACCTGTTTTATAAATCAAAACATTTGCCGTACAGTGTGTGTCACAATAATACATCCAAAATAATTGGTCTTCTTAAAATTGACATGGATGCACTTTTTGAAAAAAAACCAACGTTAATCAATTATTTTAGTTAAGAGCTATTGAGCTACGTTGAGCCTTTTTAAATAAGTTCAGTGTAACAAGAGTCATGTCAGGTTAAAGTTTGAAAATTCTATTATAAAATTTATAAAAATTCTGAAATTGGCACCTTATAATTTTGGTCAATTTCGTCTAATGTTGGCCCGACTTATAAAATAAAATGTCGCGTATCAATTTAATTAATTCGCGTAAATTGAATCACAATATTTCAAAATATTCTTTTTTGCTAATTTTTCTTCTAATAAAAATCCTAAAATACTTAAAATGGTTGGAATTAAAAAAAGAACTCAACGCTTAAAAAATAGTGCTAAAATTTCTGCGCAGTCAAGACAAGAGAAACAAAAAATACCAGAGGATAATGAAATTTAGTGAGAAATCATTGTTTAATTTGCTAAGTATAACTTGATAATTAAATTAAATATTTCTTTTTTTGGAGAAAATAGTGATTCTGCTAATTCTGATGATTTTGAAGAAATGATTTCATATTTTGATGAAGAATTTGAAAATAACAGTGAATCTTTATTCCAATTACTGATTAATAATATGAAAAATTATAAAGCCAAAAGACCTTTAACCTATCATGGAAATTCAACAAGAACACAAAAAAGAAGAAAGGCATCAACAAAAGAAAATATCAATAAAAATGGTCAAACTCTTGATCAATTTTTTATTTTAGAAAAAAATTCTAGTAAAGAAATGACTCAGGATAATGATTCACAAAGTTCTGAAACAGTTAATAATGAATTAGAAATAGTTGATAATTTTCAAAAAATAATTATGATTATTTGTTAAAAGATATTGAAATCAAACTTGATGAATCATTTGATATTGCAAAAAGTTATAATCTAAGATTAAAAGCTTTGCAATATTATTTTCAATTATTAAAAAGAAATCATAAAAAATTTGAAGCAGCAAATTTAGTTTCAAAAATCTTAAATAAAGGCCCATGGTTTTCAAAATGTATAAGAAGTTGGGGAAAGTCATTTATAGAATATGGTGATATTTCATATAAAAAAAGAGGCAAACATTTAAGAGGAAGTATTATTGATGATGAAGATGTTCAGATTAAAATATCATCTTTTTTAAGAAAGGAAAAATTTAATGTGACTGTAAATAATTTTAAAGAATTTATTGCTAAAGATGTATTTCCTAGTATAGGAGTTGAAAATGAGACAGCAATCAGGTGAGAAGAAGAATATTTTTTTTGTAAACTATTCTTAATTAACAAAAATTTTTTTTTTTAAGTTTATCAACAGCAAACAGGTGGTTGAAGAAAATGGGCTATGTATATGACAAATATAAAAAAGGTCTTTATTTTGATGGACATGAAAGAAGTGATGTGGTTGAATATAGAAGTAAATTTTTAGAGGAAATAGAGTTGTGAGTTATGAATTTATTATAACAATTATCATCTAAAAACATAATTAATCAATGCTTTGATTTTTAATATAGATATCAGAAATTAATGCCAACATTTACAGGTGATAATCTTGAAATCCAAATCAATCCAGAATTAAATGAAGGAGAAAAACTTCATATATTGGTAACACATGATGAAACTACCTTTCAATCAAATGATGGATTGAAATCTGGGTGGATGCCTGAAGGAGAACAACCTTTGAGGAAAAAAGGACAAGGCAGATCAATCCATGTAAGTGAATTTGTTACTAACACAATTGGAAGATTAAAACTGAATCAACAACAGGTTTATGAGTTTGGAGAGTCAGTTCCTCATGAGGCAAGGGTAATGATGAATCCAGGAAAAAATTTTGATGGATGGTGGAATGTTGAAAAATTAATTGATCAAGTAATGTTTCAATTTAACTGAAATCTTACTAAATTGAAAAAAAAGTTAAAGATATTTTTATTATAGATAATTAAACATGCAATTCCAATATTTGAAGCCACTCACCCAGGTGCAGTTGCAGTTTTTGCCTTTGACAATTCTTCAAGCCATGCCAAAATTGCAGACAATGCTTTAAATGTAAATAATATGAATTTAAATCCTGGTGGGGAAAAACCTAAACTGTGAGACACAATCTTTAATGGAAAAATTCAAACAATGAATTTTCCTGATGACTTTCATGATCCTAAATTATGTGGAAAACCCAAAGGAATAAAATTAATTTTGGAAGAACATGGATTATGGCCAAAAGAAGGGTTAATATTAACTTGCAATAATAATAATATTGAAGAAATTACAAACTATCCAGATTGTTGTGCAAGACATAAATTAGGAGCACAACCAGATTTTGTAGCTCAAATACCTTTTAATACAGGAAATCATTGAAGCACATGGCCATAAGGTGATGTTCTATCCAAAATACCATTGTGAATTAAATTACATTGAGATGTATTGGGGTGCAGCAAAGAAGTATGCAAGAGAAAACTGCAACTATACCTGGAAAGGTCTGGAGAAAACTGTTCCTTTGGCATTAGACTCTGTTTCTTTAAATTCAATTCGTAAATTTGAAAGGAAGTCAGCTCGTTATATGGATTGTTATAGAAAAGGCTTGAATATGAACAAGCTGAGTATGCTGTAAAAAATACAAGTCTCATAGAAAAATACCAGACTCAATCTTGACAGAAATAGATATTTAATTTATTAATATAACTTTTTAAAAAAAATAAAAAATAAATTTTTATCACGTGCAAACTTCATGATAATTTGGCCCCTCTATATAAAAATGGATGTATTATTGTGACACGCACTGTAATACAATTGTGATGTTAAACATTATTAATCCCTGAAATTCTTGGTAATGCCAATGTTCACTTTGTCTGGTTTTGTTCACCCAATCCAAGGATCTACATTCACAAAACATGATGTTCAACCTTTAACAGGGGTGTCTGGTGGTTTGGTGGTTATGTGCAACCCCAATTTTTAATTAGTAGATTTGGTGATGGTTTACCGGTAAGAGGTTTAACCTTAGGATCGACGTAAGGTTAACCCTTGTTGTAGATCCTTGGATTGGCTGGTTTGTTGCAGCATGCCCCATATATATATTCCCCTGTAGAAATGTCGATCAATTCACCCTTTTTTTCATGGCTTTTCTTGGTAAATTTCATATATAGGTAATCCTTCTTTCTTCAAGTGTCAGAGTGTCATTTATTTGGATAACGTAAGGGACAATTTTTCCACAAAATATTTCTGGTTGTAATATATATAATTCTTGGGTTTCGTGGTGGGTCTGATACAAATGAGTTTCATATTTATATTTTTTATTTATAAGATTAGTTACTAAAAAAATAATATATAATAATAATAAATGATTATAAAATTGTGGAATTCTTTGTTTCATTGTGTTGTTGCTTATTTTATTATTTGTATCACACAAAAAACTAAAAAGGAAATAAAAACACTAATTGATTTTTACTAATTTGTTTATTATTGTTTTTTTTTCTTCCTTTAAAAAAAATTATATTATTAATTCTTCCTGAAAATTGCAGTTACTCATTCATCTACATGATTGATAATATTAATTAATAGGACTCCGACTTTTTTAGTTTTCTATAAAAATGCCTCGAAAATTACGTGAAAGCATGCCAAAAAATGATTGTGAACATTGTGGTAACGCGTCACACGTTTCAACAAATTGTCCTTTAATACTAATTAGTGATGACGAAGACCACGAGGAAAATCAGCAAGAAAAACAACAAGTAGAAATTTTAGATTCTTTTAATAGTAATAATGGGATAAATATTATAGATGATAATGATTTTAAAACACCAACAAGTAAAAGAATTATCAATTATATTCCTGCTCAACTTCATTATAACAACTTTGATGATATGAGTAGTGTTGTGGATAATTTGGATAGTGAAGTTGCTGAATCAAGTAATGCAGCAACTGCAGTAAATAACAATATTGATAAAGGTAAAGCGGTTGAATTCATTGATCTTGTTACGCCTGGTAGTAGTGATAATGGTAATCATGAAATTGATGAAGTCGTTGATCTTGTTTCACCAACTGTTGCTACTAATCGTGGTAAAAAACGCGAAAATGAAGGTGAAGAAGGTGAATATTATAGAGTTATGCATATCTAATTATTTACGTCAAGACAACAAACGATATTAATAAATTATTTATCTATATGTCCAAATAGAAAAAGAAAGTTCATTTACCAAAAAGATTAAAAGGGCATTTGAGATTTCACGAGCTGCTATTCCTACTACCTTCGTATCAGCTTCATCTCTTTTATCTCAAGTCCCACAAACGTTTCAAACAGAGGCTATACCATTCGCTATTGATTTGAATCAATTAAGAAGACAAATGGAACAATTTCACAGTCAATTTATTGGTGATAATGTTGATCAACTAGAAGACGATGACAATTCTATTCAAATATTATATGGAAATATTAAATCGAAAGTTGTTGGAATTAGATATTATAATGGAACAGTTAATAGAAATGAAGCTGTAAGTTAATCATATAAGTTGATTATTATATTATGAGATGTTACAATATTAATATTAACGGTAATAAATTAACTAAATTATTTATTTATAATATTATAAATAAAGGTCTCGATTATTAGAGAGCCGGATAATATAGCTGATTCAAATGCATTAAGAGTTGATAATATTCTTGGAAATCAAGTTGGTCATATTCCAAGAGATATCGCACGTATTTTAGCACCAATGATTGATTTAAATGAAATAAGAATTGAAGGTCTTTATTTTACTTATGGCATTATTTGTTTTTTTATTATTAACAGTCAATAACACATATATATGCGTGCTCACTATTATTAACAGGTACTATTAGTGGTAGGAGTGGAACACATCATATTCCATTACTTATTAATGTTTTTGGTTCGCCGGAAAATGAGGATGAGATCAAAAGGAAATTGAGATCAAAAGTTTCTCTTGACCCACCAACTCTGACCGCAACAGGTAGTAGAGGAAAAGGTTCTAGATCCAAAGATAGATGTAAGTATAAATAAGTTACTATTTTTAATATTAATTATTATGATTTGTTATTATGACTCTCTATTACTATTGTTATTGTTATTTATAAAATCTAATCAAGCTTCATAATATCCAACTCGCAATATATTTACAGTAAAAGGAAATGATGCATGGCAAGAATTAATTTCAAAGGGAACCCAAATTGATTCTACGGATAAGCAAATACTAATGAAAAGACTTGGAATTGAAGAAACAGATTTAGCAAAATTAGCTGAAGCCACGCAACCAACATCACTAATCACAAATTTATTAAAGTATCAACGACAAGGATTGGGCTGGATGTTGGCTCATGAGCATCCAGATGAGCCTACTATTGAAAAAGCAACGCAATTTTGGATGATAAAGAATGAACGTGGAACATCTCAATATTATAATATAGCCACCAATTTTTCTACTACCACTAAACCCCTATTTGCTAGAGGTGGTATTCTTGCTGGTGAGCGAATGAGTAATCAATATGTTGACTTTGTTTTATGCTACTTAAATTATTATTAATCTTTTTATTTTAATAAACTTTAGATGATATGGGTTAGTAATTAACAATCATGATGGTGACAATGGTCGCAATTATATTATTAATATAAATACCATTTTATATATTTCTAGGACTTGGAAAAACTTTACAAATTATTGCTTTAATATGTTATGATGTTGACGGAAAAGGCTTTGTTACCAACCCCATACCCGCAGATCCATCATATGCAAAGACTACACTAATTGTTGGCAAGCATTTTTATTACCTATTATTTATAACCTGTTTAATATTTATTAATATTTTTATTGATTTTTTAATAATAATTTACAGTACCTTTAAGTCTTATTGGGAATTGGTTAGTTCTATATATTTAATATATTATTTATTGATTTATTCATCATTTATCAATTAATATATACTTTACATTGTTTATTAATTTTTCCGTGTATTTTGTTTCAATATTGACAATACAGGACTGGGCAAATTGAAATGCATGCTCCAGATGTGCTCTCAATCTATGTTTTTCATGGTAATAATCGTAACGACAATCCATACTTTTTAGCAAGTCATGATGTTGTAATTACAGTAAGTTACAAAAAATTCTTCTTGGATTAAAGGAAAAATTAAAATCACAGCCAGCTTATCTATCTATATATATATCTAAAATAATATCTTAGACATATAATATGTTATCCGTATCAGGTAATAATCATAAAAAAGGATTATTTGCAGTGAAATGGAGAAGAATAGTGTTGGATGAGGGACATATTATCCGATCCAAAAAAACCAAACAAAGTGAAGCTGCTTTTGCTTTGGAGGGTGAGAGAAGATGGATTTTGACTGGTACTCCAATTATGAATAAACTAAATGATATGGTAATTAATATTTTTGGGGAGGGGAGAAGAAATATATATATATATATATTAAATTATGATTAATTAATACATATGTATATACGTATGTATTTAATAGTATTCTTTAGTAAAATTTTTAAGAATCAATCCATTTGATGACTTAAACTGGTGGAATAGGATATTTGTTAGACCTATTAAAAATGGTGTAAGTGAAAATATTTAATGAAATCATACATACGTGAACCTATGTGGTAGATTTCAATTGATTGATTTATTAACTTATCTTTTTATTGTTATGTTTTATTAATAAGGACCCGGTTGGAGTTGAACAACTCAAAGTAAATAAATTTGTTAAATCCCCTACTTTATAATTATTATTAAATAGTAATTTTTTATAATTGTTTTAGGTATTAATGAGAACAATCTGTCTAAGACGTACAAAAGATATGAAGTTTGATGGTAGACCTATACTTGAGCTACCACCAATTACTTCTTATTTACATAAAATTCAATTTACTCCAGAGGAAAAAAAAAAATACGAGTTCATGGAGTATGTATAGTATATATATGTGTGTGCGCGCGTATGCGCTATTTTTTTAAAAATAATATATATATTTATATTAATTATTTTGATTTTTTAAAGAAATGATGCTCAATCTCAATTTAAGAAATGGCGAAGCACTGGTGAAGTTGTAAGTAAAAAAAATGACCTCAAATTTTTGTATATAAGCATTAATAAAATATAAATGTATTTAATTTTCTAAAATTATCAATTACAATCACCTTTTCACCACCATAGATGAGTCATTATTCAATAATTTTAGAAGTATTGACAAGGCTAAGACAAATATGTGATCATCATAAATTGTGTGAACATCGATTAAATTCACTGATTGAAAGAAATCAAAAGGAAATTGCTGATGCACTGAATAATGAAGACTTACAAGACTTGTATCGTATACTCCAAACTACGATTGATGATAACGAAGATTGCTGTATTTGTTTGGAAACGCTTAGTACACCAATTATTACACCTTGTAGGCATGTATTTGACAGAGGTAACTATAATTATTTTGAAAGAGTTATTGAAAAGAAGAAAAATGACCATAATTATTAACAATAATATTATTTTCAAAAGATTGTATTGAAAAGGCACTAGTTAAAAGCGAGTCATGTCCTTTGTGTCGTAATAATGTTTCTAAAAATCAATTGATTGATCCTCCTCCAGTACCAATTGAATCTTCGGAACAAACTAATGATGATATTGATGAATACGAGGATGAGAATGATTCTTCAAAAAGTAAAAGCGATTATATTCCAAGTTCAAAGATTGAAGCTTTAATGGATTTTTTGAAAGGTAATGTATGAATATATGCATACATGTATATGGTATGTCTGTTTTGCACATATTGATATATCCGTATGCATTTTTAATAATTACAACAATAGTTTCAAGCAAGAATGATCCGAGCACTAAATCTGTTGTATTCAGGTTGGTATCAAACATATTACTATAATGTTCAATTATATATGTTACAAATATACATTAAAATTCAAATTTACACATTCAAATGCACATTCACATTTATAACACAGCCAATGGACATCATTTTTAGATTTGATAGAGAAAGCATTGAACCTTTATGGTTTTAAATTTGTTAGATTGGATGGTAAAATGCAAAGACATAAACGAGATGAAGTGATAAGATTGTTCCAAACTGATGGTTCAATCCAAATCTTTTTAGCTAGTCTCAAGTGTTGCTCCTTGGGATTGAATTTGACGGCTGCTAATCAATGCTTTATCATGGACCCTTGGTGGAATCCGGTAAGTCAAATTATTGTTTGAGAAGTATTGTTAATGTGAAAATATTAATTAACACTATTGTATTTTTTAATATGGGACATTGTAAACTTTTTTAGAGTATTGGTATGTGATTTTATATATTATATCTATACAATTAATTTTTATATTCATTTATTTATCTATCTATTTTAAAACAATAATAATAATTGTGTATATGCCATCACTAATTATGAATAATAGAGGATCAGGCAGTTGGTATGTATAATTATATATTATTTTCATCAGATTTCTACAATAAATAATAATAAATATAATTATTTATTCTAATATCCATAATAGATCGAGTTTATAGATTGGGACAAACAAGACCAGTCTCAATATTTAGATTTGTAATCCAGGATACAATTGAAGAACGAGTGATGAAATTGCAAGAAAGGAAAAGAAAATTGGTGTCCAATGCATTTGGGGAAAAGATTAGAGAGGATGCAAGTAGAGTCAGGGAAGGTAATTAATATGCACTTAATATGTATATACTATTATGTTCACGTATAATAATTAATGTGTTGTTTATGATTTGTTTGTTTGTTTATTTATTATAGCGAGATTGGAAGATTTACAAGCATTATTGGGAGGGAGTGGAAATCAAACAACGTTATCGTCATCTTCTTCGTCATCTTCTTCGTCATCTTCATCTACTCCTATTTTTACTTCTATCTAAAACATAATAATACATACAAATGAATAGTTTGTAGATGTTTCGTTTTCATAAATTCAAAAATATAAATCAATTAAACCATTTTATCATCATTAATTTCTTTCAAGGTGTTAATATCTGGCAAATTAATAATAATTAATATAAATTTATTTATGTATCAAGTAGTAAAATATTGCTTTAACAAATAAAAAATATTGGTAAAAATGTTAAAATTATGACATCAATCACCCTTCATTTAATATTTTTAACAGGTTCAAAGACCCATTCTTGGTAAGGATTGTCAAAGTTATTATCCACGGAACCGATATAAATTTCGACCTACCATGCAGTGAACATATTATATCGATTTTCCGCAACTGCCAATGCTGATATTTATTATCGGGGAAGTTATTGCTTTTTGAGCTAAGATATACATTTCGATCGCGTTGGCATTTAAATTTCGACCCGTTTTGTGGTGAACAATATTATATAGACCTTGGCCAATTTTTCTCGATGCTGATAGTCATTATTGGGATAGTTAATGGGCTCAGTGCTAAGATAAACTTGTTCACGAGCGTTTGCACCTAAATTTCAACTCGTTTTACAATGGATGATATTATAAATTATCTTTTTGATGGCAGCTCCATTTTCAAATAATTTGTCTGACTTTTTTATTTGAATCTTTAAAAATAATTTTTGAATTTTAAACAAATGTTTAAAAAACAATGTTTTTAAATATAAGAATTAGAGATAATTTTATTATTAAATATTTTAGTAGCATTAAGTCTCAATATTAATAAGAAAACAAGGGGAGCGAACAGTCTCACCCGTGAGTAATTTTTCTAAAATAAGTTTATATTAAGAGTAGGTTCTGTCTGATTGCACGATTCGATATTTTCAAGAATTCTAAACTAGCGACCAATAGCCTTAAACAATTTTTGCAAAAAAAACTATTCTTTGGGTTTATTAAACGTATATTAATACTACAGCAGTCAAATTCTTTATCTTTTATACTTTTTAGTGAAGTTGTTTTAAATTTCTGGTTGCTCATTCTCGTTTAACATTTTGCCTATTGCTCATTTTACTCCAATTTTTGTTTCTTCCCAAATTTGCTTAAACTAAGAAAATAACTTTATTGATTAATTCACTATTACTATAAAGAGATTTAAAAGCCTTTTGTAGTATTTATATAAGAACACAAGGAAGAAAATAATAAAAAAATGCTTTTTTTTAATAATTATATGGCGAGGGAAATTTTTTTTTAGAAAAAGGGACAATTATTCTTACTATACATTATTACTATTTAAAACTTTTTTTTTATCCTAAATCAAAAACGCGAAACTTTTAAAGCTAAATCTGCTTCATAAATTCGCATAACTTTGAGTTTACAAAAATGCAATGCCCATTATTATTATGTAGTTATCATTACCTTATTTTAGCAAAGCCAAAAATCAAAAATATATTTATAACTCATTAAAAATGAAGTAAAATTTAATATCAGAAACGAGTCATGCAATATTAATATACTTATGTAAAAAAGCCTATTGCGCAGTAAATAGAAAGTCAGCAGTTAATATTAAAATTTTAATTTCAGAATTGGGGTATGCTGAACAAAACCAGACAAAGTGAACATTGTAATTGGTACTACAAAATATTTCAGGGTTCAAAATTTTTTAACATTACAATTATATTACTATTACTACTAATATGGTGTGCCGGATAGGCCAAAAGGTTAAGTAAATGTCACAATTAACAAAGTAAATGTTATAAACCAAACTTTATAATTAATTGAAGAAAATGTTGCAATTAGCAAATGGTATATTTAAATAACATCTTTTTTTGATTCTCAAAGAAATTGATAGTTAATTCATTTTTATCATCTAAATGAATTTTTTAATTTGTTATATTACAAAGTAAAAGATCAATTGAAGAACAACATGATTTAAATTTTTTACAATTGATAAATGAGAAAATAGAATCTATTGAATCAATGCTATTAGTTATAATAAATAATTATGAAAATGAAAGTGAAAGCTTTTCACATATTACTTCCATAATTTCATAATTGTGTAGTTATCCGTAAAAATACCTGCAATTTTGCACAGCATTATAAAAATATCTAAATAAATTTTAAAATAGCCTTTTTTTCTGATAGAAATTTACTCAATTCATCACATTGTTTAAATTGATCCCAAATACCATAAATGTTTTTAAATGTATGATAAAAATTGTATAATGTAATAGCTGTAAGGAAAGTAAAACTTTCTACCTAGAAAAAATAAATAAATTGTTAGCATGTATAAAAACAAAACATATAAAATAACTATATAAAAAATATTTATACTTACGAAATTAGAAACTTTGCCACCCATCAAATGTTTTAATTGTTCAATAACAATTCTTATCATTTTTTCTTTAACTCTCATCAATCCTCCAGTATTACTGATTGAATTAGTACTTCTAACCAAATATATTACTGAAAAAACACGTTTATTAATTAAATTGGTTTGTCCATGGATTTCATTTATAATGTCAGCCAAGCCTATTTCTATATCTAGACCTCCAAGCACTTGTTGAAATTCGGTTTGCAAATCACTTGTTGACAAGTTTTCATTTAAAATCAACAATGACATTGCCTTTAATTTATAATATAAGCTATTTGTGTCAATTACTTCATCTAGTTCATCAATATGGCTTTCAGCTAATAATTTATTTTGAGTTATTTTGAAGTATGATCCTAATTCATTTATTGTCATAATGTCTAAAGGTAACCAATCTTTTAATCCATTTTGGGTGATACATAACAACAACTCATGGGACTCAGCTTCTATTAAATAATTGACCAAATTCTTATATGATTGATATTTCCTAAAAAAAGCAAATGTGACCTGGTAGGATATGGGGTAAGTGCGTGTAGATGGATCTATTAAATTTTTATATTTGACAAAAATAAATGTGCAAATGAAATCATGTGGATGGCAGTAGTTTGCAAGAAATTTCAAGCAGGGATAGAACACTGCAAAATTGTGTTATAGGATATACAATACTTGCCTTTACTGAATTTTCTTCATCTGGATCTTTTTCAGCTTGCACCCTGAAATAGTCATTAACACTACTTGGGATGACAAAATTATGAATCTTACTATCGACATCAAAATCTTCCTAATTTTGTGTGAAAAATTTTATTTAAAAAAATACATGAATGCACAAACGAACAAGCAAGCATACTGATAACATTGATATTTTTGATTTACAAACCTCTTCTAATTAAATTAGAAATTCTAAAAGATGAGCATAACTCCAAATCATCATCATCTTTAGAATTTAAATTATTTTTTATTGAAATAATTTGTTTATTTATCAAGTATGCAATTGGTACTCCATCAAGAATTCCCAGATTTAATGGTAAACAATCCTTTTTTCCAGGAAGAATTTTTTTTAACATTATAGTAAGGAAAGAACAGTAATGTTAATGGTATTTATAAGGAGAACAAGAAAAAGTCATAAAATGGTTTGGATTTTGGTATGTTATGTTATAAATTAATCATTTTCATAAATACTCTGTTTTTCTTTAATTTTTGTTGACCAACTGAATTTGTTGTTTTTTTAAATGGGAACTTTTTCCCATATAACCTCCCACTCTAGGTTAAAGGAGTGTAGCTCAATGAGAGCATGTATCTTACAAGTATAAAGGTGGCAGTTTGATTCTGCCCACTCCTATTGTGATAGTCACCATGATCACTGGCATCAAGGAGAAAGTTGTAAAATAAAATGGTTTGGATTTTGTTTGGTATGTTATAAATTAATCATTTTCCCAAATTTTCTGCTTCTCTTTAACCAACTGAACTTGTTGTTTTTTTAAATGAGGTAGGGTTGTTGGTGAGTAGGCATGCCACTGACAAGACAGGAAACGCCTTTGAGATATACCAGCCAGACTCATAGAAAGGGATCTTTTGTCCAGACTTTGGGTCACATGCATGTTAAGCACAGAAAATGTACACTATCAATGTATATTTTTTTCAACAAAATAAACATTTAAATAATTAATTGTTAAATATTAATACTTTTCTTTTCATAAAAATTACAGCAACCCAAGACTCAAAACTCTGAATTCAGGGAAAATCCAAAACAGCAATCCAGGTTGCAACTTTCTGAGTTGCAGAATTTTCAACTCAGTCTTAACACCAACTTTATGCTAGTGTGGCAATAACACAAAGCAATCATCATAAATGTCAACTCTTGTCAGCAATCAATGTCCATATGGTGACAGCCAAGCCTGGTCTGAGAGGAAGATAGGGAAAGTTTTGTCCAAAGCCTTCCAACATGTGTGGAACCTCTCTGTGGAAAGAAAATTCCATGGTTATAGGCATGCTTAATTGCACCGCATTGCATGTTTGTGATAGGAAATTTTAATTAAATCTGACACCTGTGATCAACAGCAGATTTATTATTCATAAGGAACCATGATTGATAATCAGGAAAAATAATTTATTTTGTGAACCCCAGAAATCTGGGTAGACATGCATTGTTAAGAGTTTTGTTTATGCATGGCCTTGGTATCGTTACTACCTGGGTGATGCAATTGTTAGTTATGTCAATTATAACATCAAACATATTGAATAATAGTCATGATCATCATTTTTATTTGATGGATGGAGGCATTCACATACAAGGAAAGGATTAAATAACAACAAAAAAGCTAAGTCATGTTTATTTTTTATCTATATAATTAATTATATTTAAATGGCATTAGCCTCAATCATGCAAAGTGGCAATCAATTTATTAAAACGATTTATTTTTAATGATATTTGTTTTAA